CAGTATTATTATAAACATGGCATAGATATCCTGATACATCAGTCCCCAAATAGCTTCATGCAAAATACCCTGACTGCAATATGTCTAATAGCACAGAAAAAATACAGTTGCAAGAAAAAAGTATGTGAACCCCTTGGGATTACGTGGAGTTTTGCATGAATTGGGCATAAAATGTGCTCTGAACGTCATCTAAGTCACAACAATAGAAGAACACAGTCTGCTGAACATAATACTACACAAAACATTAGATGCTGCCATGGTTTAATTGCACATAACATGTAAACATTCACAGTGCAGGGAGGAAAAAGTATGTGAAGCCCTAGCTTAATGACTTCTCCCAGAGCTAATTGGAGGCAGGAGTGAGCCAACCTTGACTCCAATCAGTGTGATGATATTGGATGTGTTGCTGACAGCTGCCCTGCCCTTAAAAAACACACACCTGTTTTGGGTTTACTGGTTTCAAGAAGCACTGTCTGATGTGAACCATGCCTCGCAGAAAAGAGCTCTCAGAAGACCTACGATCAAGAATTGTTGACTTGCATGAAGCTGGAAAGGGTTACAAAAGTATCTCCAAAAGCCTCGATGTTCATGTGTCCACGGTAAGACAGACTGTCTACAAATGGAGAAAGTTTAGCACTGTTGCTACTCTCCCTAGGCGTGGTCATCCTATAGAAATGACTGCAAGAGCACAGCGCAGAATGCTGTGTGAGGTAAAAAAGGATCCCAGAGTGTCAGCTAAAGACCTACAGAAATCTCTGGCACATGCTAACATTTTTGTTGACACATCTACAATAAGGAAAACATTAAACAAGAATGGAGTACAATGGGAGGACACCACGGAGGAAGCCATTGCTGTCCAAAAAGAATATTGCAGCACGTTTGAAGTTTGCAAAAGAGCACCTGGATGTTCCACAGCACTACTGGCAAAATATACTGTGGACAGATGAAACCAAGATTGAGTTGTTTGGGAAGAACACACAACACTATGTGTGGAGAAAAAAAGGCACAGCACACCAACATCAAAACCTCATCCCCACTGTAAAACATGGCGGAGGGAGCATCATGGTTTGGGGCTGCTTTGCTGCCTCAGGGCCTGGAAGGATTGTTGTCATTGATGGGAAAATTAATTCCAGAGTTTATCAAGACATTTTGCAGGAAAACGTACGACCATCTGTCCTCCAACTGAAGCTCCGCAGAGGATGGGTGATGCAACAGGACAATGACCCAAAGCATACAAGTAATTCAACAAAACAATGGCTGCAACAGCACAGAATACGCCTTCTGGAGTGGCCCAGTCAGAGTCCTGACCTCAACCCGATTGAAATGCTGTGGCATGACCTTAAGAGAGCAATTCACACCAGACATCCCAAGAATATTGCTACACTGAAACAGTTTTGTGAAGAGGAGTGGTCCAAAATTACTCCAGATCATTGTGCAGGTCTGATCTGCAACTACAGGAAACGTTTGGTTGAGGTTATTGCTGCCAAAGGAGGGTCAACCAGTTATTAAGTCCAAAGGTTCACATACTTTTTCCTCCCTGCACTGTGAATGTTTACATGTTATGTGCAATTAAACCATGGCAACATCTAATGTTTGTGTAGTATTATGTTCAGCAGACTGTGTTCTTCTATTGTTGTGACTTAGATGACGTTCAGAGCACATTTTATGCCCAATTCATGCAAAACTCCACGTAATCCCAAGGGGTTTCACATACTTTTTCTTGCAACTGTAGCTCTGAAAAGAAAATATGGGTGGCAATCTGCATTTTGAAACTAATATCATTTACACCTTCCACAGTGGTCAAAAATAAAGATGGCAGATACATAATGGTGGTGGGTAAGATAAATGATCAATCTGTCACCTATACATCCTACTATGCTCCAAATGGGGGGGGGTCAAACAAACTTTATTAAGCACAAGTTCGAAATACTGCTGCCTCGAGCGTTGGGTCTTGTTGGGATGGGGGAGACAGCAATATTCCACTTGACCATGTTCTGGATAAATCTAACCCTCACAAAGCAGTTCTTATAAACATCCCTAAACAAAGTTGTAAAATAGCTAAGTTGTTCCATCAATATGATTTGATTGACACTTGGAGGGAACTTAACCCATCGACTCGTGACTTTACACATTATTCATGGATAGATCATATTCTTGCCCTAACTCCTCTGTTACCATTTGTAACCTCGGCCAAAAACCTTACCACGCCTTGGTTGGATGATTCCCCGTTAAGATTGATGCTTACACACTTATGGACTAAACCACCACCTTCTTCATGGCACCTGCATGCGTCGCTACCTAATGATCCAGTGATATTTAGATCAATAGAATGCATTGTCGGCTGCTTCCTCCACTATCGATTGGGAAACACAAGGCTGTCATTTGGGGTAAACTAGTACAAACAGCGGCCAGATCAAAGCATATTAGAGAGAGTACGATTAAAATGGTTGTAAGAGCTGATGGTTGTTTACCTTCATGCATGCCCCCCCCCAATACTCACATAAGCCCCTCTCACTATAGGAGATAAGCTGGCTCTCCAGTTTTGTTTTGTTTTTATTGTTCCCAACCCTGTCATTCTCCCTCAGAGCGTGGAACAGAGTTTGGAACAGAATAACCAGGGTACACAATTTTAAATCCCCACAACTCCCTGACACCCCTTCTTGGGAATCCTGATTTCATCCCGGTCCTCAACCCCCGAGCCTTCGAATGGTGGACAAATAAAGGATTAGTACGCATTTCAGATCTTGCAATTCTAAGGGACTGCTGCCAAACCAAGTTTTGATAGAAAAGTATCAGATACCAGAGGCTGAAAGTTTCCATTATACCTAAATAACACATTATCTTAATACTTTAAAGTGTTCATCAGATATTGTAACTATGAATCTATGGAATACTTGTGTAATAAAAATGATAAGCTAAAGGGCTTTATATCTAAAATATATTCTATCCTAAACTCTATTAATATGAAAGTTTTATATGCAACAATGGGAAAAAAATACGGGTGAAATATTGGAATTAGACGACTGGTATAAGATAGCTCACTCTGCATCCAAGTCACTTATAAACACCTCCATAATGGAAGCTAATTTTAAAGTGATCAACCATGGTATATGGTGCTGGCCAGGATTGCCTTGTATGTCCCGGGGGTTTCTCCGCTCCAATTAAGGGGCTGCGGACAGGAGGGGACCTCACACCGCATATGGTGGCAATGCCCCAAAGTGAAATGTTTCTGGATTAGACTCTATAATTGTATTGATTCTCTTACTCAAATACATTTTTAAAAAATCACCAATATAGGCACTTTTGTTCGGCCCCCGTGAAGAACGCCCAGAGACATTGATGCAGACTAACATTTCTTTTTATGGCTGTGAAAATAGCCATAGCTACATCATGGAAGTCAGCAGTAATAATTCTAGACTTGGTTAAGACTAAACTTACGTAGCTCATGATTAACGAGTGCTTATCTGCTAAACTGAATGACAAACTTAAGTTGTTTGAAAAAACCTGGAATTCCTGGATCCAGTACCTGACTGGCGACACTCAGACCCCCTCTCAGCTTAGATAGAGGTCTGGGATTAGGGAGATGGCATTTCTGGTTTTCTATTTTCCTTCTTCCATGTCTTTATCCTTTTTTGCCCAGTTCTTAACCATCTGCTCTTTCTATGGGGAGTGTGACATTCCCATACCAATTTTCTGGGAAGCCCACTCCCATTCTGAAGCAAAGTTATTCCCTCCAATAAGTGGAGGCTGAGAACCAAGCATAATATTAGTGCACTGTGTATCTTCAATAAAGTCTAACTATTTTCTATTGTAATTCAGTTGCACACGATGCAATGAGTTTGAGCCGTTTACCAACAGGTGAAGCGGTTGTTATGACCATGAGCAAACCCAACTTGAATTGAACTGGGTGCTATGATCGCACTACTGTGTGTACTCACACATACTTGTGTGTATGGTTAGGCTCAGAGCACTTGTGTTCTGTAGTGGATTTGTAATGTTTCTTGAATTAATAAGCTGGTGGAGATATATGACTTGGCATTACTATGGCAACATCTTATGATTTTGTTTGCATTTTTTTCTCTTGTAAAACACTTTTTCAACAAAACTATTGGAAAAGAAAAAAAAGGACCTAAATTATGTTTGGGTACAGCAAACAAAATGACCGCTAAATTACCAGCTGAAATAGTGCAGTGACAAACAGCAAAAAATGGCCTGGTCTGGAAGGGGGAAAACCTTTCAGGGCTGAAGAGGATAGTGTGAAGGATAGCTATAATGGTAGAGTGCTGGAAACAGACAGGAAAGAAAAGCAAGACAAGGAAAAACACACTTGTTTGCTTCTAAATATGTGAAAAAGTAAGATGTAACTGTACTAATCAGAAATCAGCTCAACGATTCCAAACATTGGGAGGGGATTTATCAAAACTGGACCGGCTGTACATGGCAACCAATAAGCTTCAAATCTTCAGCTTGTTCAGTTAAAGTGATTGTAAATGCTCCTGCCCAGGCCAATTTTCAGCTTTGTCACACTTCTGAAAACTACTCAGTCATGCAACACTGCTGACATTTTTATAATTTTTTTCACATAAACAGATTTCTTCTATGTAGTATACAATCACCACTGGGTTTTTTTTATTTATTTCATTCATTGAGGCCAGTAAATGCCAGGACAGTACAAATACCCCTCAAATGACCACTTTTGGAAAGTAGACAGTCACAAAAAAAAATATCTTGTGAATAAGCCTATTCTTTGAAAAAGGTGTACAAAAATGAAATTCATGATGGAAAGGGTGTGGGGTGCAGGAGGTTACTTGTATTGTTTGTGCAAGGCACACCTACCTTCTTCTTTAATTTGTGGCGTGCTCGCTTTGCAGCTTTATTGCTGCTGGTTGCCTTGGGTTCAGTGTTGTTTATGAAATCTAAAAGTTCATCAACATCACGGTGGTCCACAGCTTGCTCTCCTGGAGGGTGCCGCTTCTGTGGGACCTCTTCTTTCCTCTTGGTCAAACGTGATCTAAGTTTTTCACGCATCTCAGGATAATTTCGACTTGTGGGGGCTGGCGGTGGCTAAAAACATGGAAAGAAATTCTCCACTGAAATAAGGAAAACTGCTATAAAAAACACTCCTGATGAAAACTAATAAAAACATGACCACAGTAGATTGTTGGAAACTCAGGATAATCTCACTGGATGATCTCACTGCAAGACAAACAGCTAATGGGAGACTTAAGCCCCTTACACACGATGCGAATATTGGCGAATGATCATCCGTTTGTTTTGTTTTTTTTGCATGCTAGTCTCATTTTAAAAATGAGGAGGTTACTAAAAAGTTACGAAAATTCTTGTACAGTAGAATACAACTTTGTAAGTGATGTAACGTATACTTTTGTTTCTTAGTGTGCGTTGTCTTGGTCTTCCAAACTTTTTTAGATGACTACTGTACTGATTAAACAAAAATTGTTCGCTCTGGTATAGTACAAAAAGAATTTTCGTGTTTGTCACTTCAGATATTGCCGCATGAACTGTCATGATTGGCTCTTGAAAGCTGTGTACTAACGATCAGATTATTGGACGATCGCTCCTCGCATGGAAATTTTTGTATGATTTTCTTATCATGTGTACGGGTCTTTAATACGCTGCCATCTACCCATTAATAAAGAATGTGGGATTAGCCTTTAAGGTCTGTTTTTAGACATTTTTAGTTTTGTTACCCTCTAGTGCAAGCTGAACTTAGATTAGCTTACCGTGTTGTGGCCAAAGAACTCGCAGTAGCAGCAGTCACAGAACTTGCCATCTCGCTGGTTGGTGGAGGAAGAAGTGCATGAACTACGCTCTGAGCTACTGTCTTCATCTTCCCCCAGACCCTCGTCTGCTTCACAGGGTTGCAAGTTGGAGCAGCCTGATACATTGGAAAACTTGTGTCCTCGACATGTTGCATCCCTAAAACATTCAGAAGATTCGCAGTGAAGCAAACAATGTTCTTCATTCCTTAATGTTTTCATTTCTTTGACATCATCACAGATTAGTTTACACTAAAATGTAAGATTGAGAATAGCACTTAAAATTTTACAATTTTAATTTGTTTTATTTTTAAACGTTAAAAAGGAGCATCGTCACATTTTCTGTCTAACTTTTTTATTAAGTGGGGTATTATTATTTTAAAAAAAAGAGAAAAGCATGTTTAAAAAAAAAAACTACAAAATTTATAGTAAAAAAAATTTCTATGAGCTCTTCTTATCCTGTTTAAACCTTGCTGATAAGGGCTCAACTTGGCTGGCAAGTCCTCGTGGTCTTAAGTCAAGCCCAGCCAATGTTCTACCCACCCTCTATGACTGCTTTGGTGACCAATTCCATTCTCTCTAAGCAGGGGCACAGTGGATAGGTGAGACAGAGGAGTCTCTAGTAGACATAACCCAGGGTTGTTTCAAACTGGTGCACAGAAGAGGGTACTTTGGCGATCTCAAAAAACTACAAGGTGATTCTCTTACTGTCCCTGTTCAGCATCTTGAACACAAAACCAAGTGCAACATTTAATCCTGCAAGAAACAATGTAACTACTCCTTATACCCCAACAATTCTGCTACAAAGGATACAAAATACCAGCTGGAAGCTGGCAGCTGGAAAGGCTAAGGCTGCTTTTACACTGGTTTGCCTCAAAAACACTTGGAAAAATGACTAGCCTTTTTGGAGCATTTTTGAAGTGTTTTTCAAGCGGAACATCCTGGACATGTGACTTGCTTTTGTAGCTCAAATTGGGCAGATTTTCACATTTTCAGCAAATTTTTATTCCAAAAACCTACCAACAAATGATGCAATAGATGATATTGGGTAAAATTTACTAAGCGGTATCTTACAGTATCCGAGTATATGGTAGGATACCACATTTTAAAAAAAAAAAAAACGTTTGAATTCACTACAAAAAATGCTACTAAAATACTGCATGAGTTATTTTATCAAGTCATGCAGTATTGTAGTAGTTAAAAACATGCGTTAATGTTTCAGCAGTCAGTTCCCCAGTGGATTTTTAGGGGAACCCCCACGCCAAAAAAAATAAATAATGTTGCGTGCCACCCCCCAAAATCCATACCAGACCCTTATCCGAGCATGCAGCATGGCAGGTCAGAAAGGGGGGGGGGGGGGGAAGACAAGCGAGGCCCAGGCAACATGCCCTCAACATGGGGGATGTGTAAAAAGGTACTTGGAATTCTTTTTTAGCAGGATAGTTGGGAATAAGAAGCATCTACTTTCTTTTATGTAAGATGAATGAGAGAATACAAGTTGCTTTATAGGGCCAGTTTAAAACATCTAAATTAGAGCGCTTCTAGCTCCCTCTGCTGAAAAACAGACTAAAGAGATGTTTTTGGAATATTGTAAAAAACACAGGCAAATGGAACCAGCTGAACAGAAAAGTACTTAACGCTGTAGTAAATCACACAGAAAAAGAAGGAGTAGGAGAGAAAAAAAAAAAAAAAGAGCTTCCAGGTGGTTTTAGTCATAATGTGCTAGTATGCACTGAATATTAGCATATTATGACAGACTTACCTGAAACCGAAGCCCTCCAGCAGCATGCCGTCATGGGTCACAGCACTTCCTTCTTCACCAGGTATTCATTCCAAGTTCGCAGGCTTCAGCCGTATGAATGGCTAAGCCACGATGACATGACGCGGGAATCACAGCCACAGCACAGAGCTCTGAAGGAACGCAGAGGTATGCCGTTCCTTCAGAGCACATGTGACGGGGACGGTGCAGGTTTAGGAGATATTTACTGTACATATAGGTAAGCCTTATTCTAGGCTTACCTATAGGTAAATACCAAAAAAGTGGTTTTACTGCCACTTTAATAATGCTAGTACCCTGGCTATCATTCTGACATTTTGACTTTAACATAGACATAAGTGTAGATGGGGTGTGTGAAACTCAATTTTGCAGCCCTAGGCTACCAACTTGCAAACCCATTTGTATGACACATAGGTTAGTCAATAGTCCCTGAACAGGTGAGGTTAAAACTTCATGGAGTGAAGCAGGCCTTCTCTGCAGACTTGTGGTCTTGGACTGCCAGAGAAGCTTACCCTCTTCAGAGGTAGAGGGCTTAAACAATTTCCCTGTAAACAAAAACTGCTTATGGTCAGAAATGGAAGACCAAGATTTGCAAAGAGAGAGCTTAAGCTGACAGTGAGATTAAGGATCCTTGCTTTGTTAAAAAGAAGTATGGCCAAAGTTTTTTTTTTTGGTCATACTTCTCTTCTGGGTCACAGGAGTGCACTTTTGATAAAGCCCTCCATCAGCTGACATCACAGAATTGCTCCAAGTCCTGTGCTGCACTGCAGAGGTGAGTATATAGGTTTGTTTTCTAGAAACCTAAAATGTCTCTTTTAGTAACCAAGTTGTTCGACAGTGTGGCGGCTGCTTTGGCCACCAGTAGGGGCTGATTTTTGTTTTTTAGTTGTGCCTAACATCCTACTTCTACAGGTGGCACTATACCCAGTACATTGTGATCTAAAGCAGAGCTGCGTCCTCCAATGAACAAAAGAGAAAATTATTTTTGGCCACTTTTCGGACACTCATTTGAAGCATGCTTGTTCTGGGACTGTGACAGATTCATACTGAAGTCAGACACAGTTAGGTATGTAGCATTTTTAGGAAGCCAGCAAAGGCGCCCAACCTACGTTTCTCACAACAAAGTGGCTTTATTAAAGTACTTTTAGAGGAAAAGGAGCAGAGTTACACTACCGCATTCACCTTATCACTTTTTACTTTTTACTCAAGAGTTGCACTGTTGCAATTTATTAAACATAATAAAAAAACACTTTATAAATGTTTTGCGAATGACAATAAACCAAAGAAAAATCAAAAGCATTTTCAGGGTAATTACCTGGTGGTGGTGCCAGGTGTGCTTCCTCCCTGTAGTGCATTTGTGCCATTACAGTGCCCATTGCAAGGATGGCTACAGGCAGAGAGTGGTGGGGGAGGTGGATTTACTTTAAGGAGAGATGGGCTGGACCCTGTTAAATGAGGACTTCTGTGAGTTCCAGATGTGGGGCAGACAGTAGCTTTAGAGGGTGCAGTGTGAGACGAGAGGCTTGTTGCTGAGAAAGGGGATGCTGTATTGGATGAGGAGAGGTATGGGTGTGGAGGACTGTGAGGAGAAACTGGAGGTTGAGATGCTAATCCTGTTGGACTGTTCGGAGGAGCAGTAGGATCCGAATGACGACTGTGGTCTGAATGATAAGCTTCCCCTAAAAGAACACAATCTGTGAAGTACAACCAAACAAATCATAAAGGTTAAAAACAGCAATTATCACATACTACTACTTATGGAAAAAAATTTAGCATTTTTTTAATCACACATAAAACTTTTTTTTATTATAAACATCTTATTTATATTGGTTGAGAGTAATGATAAAAGCTCTTCAGTAAATTGCAGTGACAAACAGTATTGTACTTTTCAAAATGGAAGGTTCTGTGCATAACACCACTTCAGACCCACGACCAAGTTTAGCCCACCACACCCTCAAATGACTGATTATACTTGTCTCAGTGTCACCTTAGGCCTCATTTTTTTGCCAAAGCCCCTGAACTCAACTCATTTAAAGCCTATGTGTCCATGCACACCCAGGCTTTTACCAGATTTTAGGAGCAGCAGAGTTTAGGGGAAGTTAAACATTCCTCTACTTAACACAGAAGAATAGCGTTCAGGTGAGGAATGTTTTGGACAAAAACCGCTAAACACGGCAAAAATCCGTGTGAACATGTCGAAACGCTAGCCGCGTTTAGGCCTCATGTATACTGCTGCTCCTAAATCTGAGTTTAGGAACTTCTGGCATTTTTCTGCCAAAGCCCTGAACTCATCTCAGTAAAAGCCTACGTGTCCATGTACATATAAGGCTTTTACCAGAGTTTAGGAGCAGGTAAACGCTGCTCTTCTAAAAGCAAAATAATCACGTTCAGGAGAGGAACGTTCTGGCCAAAAAACCGCTTGGGCATTTATCCATGTCAGTGGAAAATGCTCTGCCCAATCAAATGAATAAACATGAAATCGCTAAACACGAATAAACACAGTACAGAGTTTACATGTGTTTTAGACGCGTTTAGCAATTTCCTCTGCCAAGAGAGTTTAACGACAAGGTGAGTACATGTGTACATGAGGCCTTAGCGCTTGTGCTTTTAATGTCAATGGAAAATACTGTGGCCAATCAAATGAATAAATGCCAAAAGCAGCTAAATGCAGTACTGCGTTTACACGCGTTTTTACCACGTTTAGCATTTTTTTGCTGCCAGGAGAGATAGAGGAGTTCATGTGTACATGAGACCTATATCCTACACAATACTATCCATGGATTATTAATCTTGCAAAGAACTAGCACAGCTGAAAACCGCTATTTAAAAATTGGATAATTGGCTTTATATTTTAAGTGGTAACAGTGTTGCAAACCAGCTGTTCTGTGAGGAATAAACATTTTGTTTGTGGGATTTGTGATAGAAGTGATTATGTAAATAACTTCTAAGCCTGTGCTGAAAGCACAACATGGAAGTAATATATATGTAAAAGCGCTGAGTAAATTGATGGTGCTTTATAAGTACCTATAATAATAATTCTGAGTAAACTGTAGGCATCCTCAAGTTTGATTTAAGAAAAAGCTGTATTGGAGTGTGTTGGCAAATATTCCTAAATGCCATTATCAGATCTGTCACACATTCAAAGCACAACAATAAACTTATACTCGAAAAACCATATAACTAAACATGGTGTATGCTACACTGCATGTTACAACTCCAGTCACCTGTTCAAGCTGTAGAAATAGATAAAAGTTTTTTTCAGGCTAAAGTAAGTCAGCTTAAAGCTAAACTGTTACTAGCAAATTTTACTAAGTAAACTCAGGAAAGCAGTGGTGCAAACATGGTATATGTGGAAACGGCTGTACCTCCACCTACTAAGAAAACTAAATGGCAACACCCAGTCTTCTTGGTAGGTCACTGAGACCATGACATTACATGTTGGAAGATGCAAAAAAAGGTGTGCAGGGCTCACCTGCAACCCTCCTGGTTGAATAGTAGTAAAGTCATGTGAGCGACAGGTTTGACTTAAAGCATACACAATCCTGTGTTATTAAAACTGAGCATATAAATAAGCCTAGGTGCAGTGAAAACTGCATGTCAGGATTGTTGTTATATCCAGATATATAGTCAGATGAAGTTAAATGTTAATCTCCCATAAAAGTCACGTTTAACCCTGTACTTTATGCATTCCAAAGCTTCACAATTGGGTCTGAAGAACAGCTATTCTGACTAATACTGAGGCTCAGATGGTAGAAAGGGTCTAAGAGCTCAGCTTTTACAGGAAAAAACAAGATTACCTTGTACATTTAGCTGCCTATATCTCTGGACTACTGATCATTTTGAAGTTATTTTCATTTAAAAGTAACTTCTGCAATTACATTCCGAGTATGAATTGCCCAGGATTGCGATATGGTAGTCACTAATTTTATCTGCTCAAAAGATGGCCAAGTTCAAGAAGACAGATACAAACTGAATCAAATAAAAGTATCTCATACTTTTCTAGTTGTTTAGACATCCAGTTATAAAGCAGTTACAAACAGGTAGCCTACTATGTAAATACAAAAAAAGGGCATGCCAAGCTCATACATCCAATGATAACAAAAATTAAAGTTTGCACTAACCTGGGGATGATGGCCTATGGCACATGCTTTTGAATTGTTTTGGAGATTTACAGAAGTTAAGTGAGGTAGGGAGTGTTCCTGTGCTGGTTCCAGATGGGCTATATGGACACACCTTTAAACCAGACAGCTTCGATGTCTTGCTACCACGCTCCGGCGATGCCGGAAGCCCGCAGCCTTTTTCCCCTATAGAACAAAATGCACATGCTCTCCAAAAAAGTAAAGGAAAAGATCAAGTCTAGGCAGCATCTAAAACTAAACAAGCTGTCCTATATAAGGTCCTTTTGTAATACTGTTTATTGTAACACCAAGGTCTAATAACAATTAGAAAGGACCAATATTATAACAGCAGCATTGTATTCTGCCCACATATTTGACTGCCTATAACCAAATTAAAACAAATAATGCTGGTAAACACTGTTCCCATTGCACTGTGATTTCTATTATTGTTTAATAGGGACACAGAAGACACTAGATGATGAATGCTTTCAGCCTTACCTTCCATTTCACAAAGCTGCTCAAATATGGGGTCCTTTTAACCCTCATCTAATCTAAGCCTCTCCTACAAACAAGCTCAACAGTCTATGGGCTCCACATATGCCTCTATACCAAGCCAATCTTAGTCTCAATATCTATTAGCACACCAATATACCAAATGAAACTCCCTTACCACTTGAGCACGTACACACGGACATGCCAGCCTATTGTTTCTTTCCCATTATTGCTTCCCCCCACATCAACTAAATTCCCACCATCTGTCCCTGCCTCCATCTTTACAAATGATAAACACAGCTCTTGAACTCATCCACACCCAAAATAGACATGGAGCTCTGTAAATAGCCTTTACCCACAAAAAGCTAATGTAATTCAGAAAAATACCCCCACCAGTATATCTTGCTTTGCAACTCTGATGTAAGATGTCATACAGGCTTTTGTACCCATCACTGGGCTTATTCATACGCACCTTCCAAATATAAACAGACATTTTACATTTACATTATAATTCCAGTTACAGAGTTCTGTTTATAGTAACTGCATCATGTCTTACAATCCTGCATTTCGGAGTAGATAGCATCTTAGACAATTGATCACACCTTCTGATTATCATGAACACACACTTGAGTAACTGTTGTATTGTTGCTGAATTCTCATTCAAATGGAGTTCAGTTTGAAGATCCCTTGAGCATCTTAATAAGAATATCAAGTAAACTTCTCTTTATGGTGCCCTTACACTGACATGAAAAGCTCTAAATGCCAAGTAATTTGCATTGATCTGATTGACATCAGTGGCCATTAGGCCTCCTTCACACCAGTGTGCAGAGATTTCAGTTTTTCTGCACACGTTCTGCAAGAGCACAATGAGTTCAATCATGTGCCCTGTTCACACCAAGCACTGTAACAGTTGTGCCAGAAATTGATTTTGTGGGTGTCATTTGGACAGAAGAACACAGGAGGTTGGAAAAAAAAAAAAAAACATTGTCACAATTTTCCTTCTTTCCTCTCTCTGCTAAAATGTGTTTTTGTTTTGTCTGTGTCTCTGTAGGAGAATTTTATTATCACATCTTGTCCTAACAAGAAGCAAGGCACCATCTCCTCAATAGAGACACAAAGCAATAAGGTCTGATAGAAGCTCCAGCCCTTCCCAATTCCAACAAAAATAAAAATAAATAAAAAGTTTTACCTGAAGTTGGGCTTTAAGCAGCCCTTTACGTGTATGTCTGGGCAAAAAAAAAAAAATAACAAAGTACATTCTGCAATAGATGCACATAGATACTAGGTTGTCATCTCAAAGGGGAAGTTGGGAGCATGCTGGACCTCTGGCAGGATCAGACATTTTAACTTGCCGTACCTTTAAAAAGAGAAAAAACATGGGGAAATGTGCAAGTATTGCAAAGATGTACAATGTTTTTTTTTCCCCTTCCAGACATAAACTTGCCATACATGCCTTCAACCAGGGGTGGACTGACAACTTATGGGGCCCCTGGGCAATAGGGGATCATGGGGCCCCTGTGTCCTTGCCCAAACTAAAAAAAGCCTATGAAAAAGGTACCAGGGGCATCTCATGGGGCCCCCTACTGACCCCGGGCAGTGCCCGAATTTCCAAATGGTCAGTCCGCCCCTGCCTTCAACTTTGTCAAATTCCTGCAGCGTCGGCTGAAATCTGAACAGAAGGTGGCCCTGTCAGCACCACCTGGCTTGATAAAAGTCCATTTAAAAATCAATTAGCTCCCTGGAAAATTGATGGTCAACCCGCAATTGCATCCAAACAGATGCAAGTCACTGTTAGGGTATTCAGGCAGCTGTCGGTGCTGCCATTGTCTGAGTACAATAGCCAGCAGGGGAGATTCCTCCAGCTGGTTAGCATGGATGGGGAAATTAAGTGATTGTGCAATCAAAGTCTAGCCATCTGCAGCAATAAAACGTGCATGCATTAAACAAAGCAATAGTGAAAGTGTACCCTTGGTGTACCTTAATCCATCTGTATAAATATAGGTTTCTATGAAACTAAAATAAATATTTATACTTGGAAACATCATATTCAAAAGAAACTCAGTCTGCTTTCTCACTGATCAGCTTGTGGTGTTTACAGTAAAAAAAAAAAAAGCGGAAGAAAACTGCATCCCTTAAAATCCTGCGGCGCTCTAAACACTGAGCTGCTGCGCTTCAGTTGCAGCGAAGAAAATCCTGCTTGCTGCATTTTGGTACATGCTTGTTCAATTAAAAAGAAAAACAACAAACAAAACAAAAAATGTATCAAAAATGAATCCCTCCATTGAAATGATTGGAAACTACAGCAAAAACACATCAAAAACACAACGCACCTGTGGGAAGTGCTTTGTCCAGTGGGGAAAAACGAATGCATTAAAAACGCAACGCACCACAGGAAAAATGTGTCAAAAACGCATATATGTTTTTGGTGTGTTTCAGCAGAGCAGTGTGAAAGTAGCCTTAATGGTAAAGCACTTCTTTAAAAAGCTCTGATGAAAGTAACTATTGTATAATTGGAGGTGAAATTCAAAGAACCTCCAGCACCATTCTTAGGTTTACTGCATCAAGCCTTTTATGGTACACTGGCCAAGGTGTTACATAACTAAGAGGATGTTAAGATGCGGAGTTTCTCTAATCCGCTTTGGCAGTTTAAGGGAGTGATAGCAATGTGTACAGAAATTAAAAAGAAAAAAAAAATATGATTCTATAAAGAAAGTGGTACAATGCAATGTGTGTACTTGGCCTGGAAACAATTCAATTATTTTTTCTCAACAAGTGTGGGGTTTCAAGACATGAGTTTTAAATTGTCAGAACTGAAGAATAATTTGCATTCTATGTTTTATCCACATATACCCTATACACAGAGTTTCTAAACCCACCTGCTGCTCCTCCTCCTATGTTTCCATTGGCGTGCTGAGAGTTCCAGAGACCGGATAACTTGTGGGCAGACAAGAAGGAGCTAGGGTCCCAGTCCCCAGAGTTTCCATGGCAAGAGGACGAAGAAGAAGAGGATGAGGAAGAAGAAGAAGTAGAAGAAGAGGAGGAGGAAGATGAAGAGTGTGAACCACCACCACAGGACTGGGACTTGCAGGATGTGTGTGACAGAGACACCTGTTAGAAGAGAATAAAGTGAGATGTGATATGCTGTGTGGTAGTAAAAGAGGCTAAACTAGAGGTTTTGCATCCTTTCCCTGGAAAAAAAAATAGCTTCTAAAATTAAGAAACACTTTCAATAAATGCAACTGAACACAACTAAATGAGTATTAGTATTTTGTTTGTATATACGAGTTGTATATATTCTCATTCCCCAAATTTCTTATCACCATGGAGAAATGACTGGCAGAAAGAAATTCTGTGGCTGACCACAACCAACATCTTAGCCACGCAGAAAATACATTATTTCGGCAGCTGTGTAGCAGTGATGGCAATGAAATATGGGTATCTAATGAAGGGAAATCTATATGAAGAATAATGGACAAATCAAAAAATGCCAATTATACCAAATAAAAATAACGGACGTGCTCACTGAAAATACATTATAGGGCAGCACAGTGGCTATATGGTTAGCACTTCTGCCTGGCAGTACTAGGCTTGTTGGTCTAAATCCCAACCACGGCACCACCTGCCTGGAGTTTGCATGTTCTCCCTGTGCCTGTGTGGGTTTCCTCCGGGTACTCTGGTTTCCTCCCAAGTTCCAAAGACATGCTGGTAGGTTAATTGGATCCTGTCTAAATTGTCCCTAGTATGTTTATGTATGAATGTAAGTTAGGAACTTTAGATTGTACGCCCCTTGAGGGTTAGGGACTGATGTGAATGTACAATATATATGTAAAGCGCTGTGTAAATTGACGGCACTATATAAGTACCTGTAATAAATAAAATACTTTCCCACTGGAAATAATCTTTCCTATGACTCAGGGATGTTCGAATTCCTATCACCCGACGCCCGTGCATCGGGAAGGTCATTTTTTCCTACCTTTAGCCCTGCTGCGGGTTATACACTGACAGCTGAATGTTAAAGAATTGTCGGCAATTAAAAAACTTATTTATAAAACTGCATGGGGTCCCCCCTCCCATCCATACCAAGCCCTTCAGGTCTGGTATGGATTTTGAGGAGAACTCCCACGCCAAAATTAAAAAAAAAAAAAAAAAAAAAAAAGGCGTGGGGGCTCCCACCCAAATCAATACCAGACCCTTATTCGAGCATGCAGCCCGGCAGGTCAGGAACCATACCAGGAACCTCCTGAACCATACCAGGCCACATGCTCTCAACAAGCACCTTGCTCTCATGTTGATGGGGACAAGGGCCTCTTCCCCACAACCATGGCTGGTGGTTTTGGGGGTCTGCGGGCAGGGGCCTATCAGAATCTGGAAGCTCCCTTTAACAATGGTAGGTACCCCTACTCATTCAAGTAGGTACCCCTACTCATTCACAAAAAACAAAAAGTGTAGTGTGAAAAAAGACAGTACATGGTCTTTGCCAAGTTCAGGAGGGAGGGGGGCACTTGCTTGCCCCCCCCCTTTCCTGACCTTCCGGGCTGCATGCTCCGATAAAGGGTCTGGTATAGATTTATGGATTTTGGGGGGGGGGTCCACCACGCCAGTTTTTTTTTTAATTTTGGCGTTGGAGTTTCCCTCGAAATCCATCCCAGACCCGAAGGGCTTGGTATGGATGGGAGAGGGACCCCACAACGGTTTATTTATTACGGTGCCGGTTTTTAATTGTAATTACCACTTTTTTTTTTCTTCTCTATAGCTCAGAAATTCAGCGGTCACTTTCTCCCCAGCTAAAAGAAAGCTTTCTTTTAGTTTATTAACCTAAGTTAAGAGAAACAATGTTTCCTTTTAGTTTCTTAAAAGAAACAAATTTTCCATTAACTCCAGGGAAAGTGACAGCTAATTCAGTGAGCTGTAGTGAAGAAAAAAAAAGCTGGCAATTGCATTTAAAAATCAACACTGACATACACTTTGAATTGCAAAAAAAATTCGTAAAAAATTTGTAAACCAAGGCATTATTTTCAATGGATTTTCATTCGTAAACAAAATATTACGTTAACCGAGGAGTTTGTAAACCGAGGTATTACTGTACTTTAAGTGCTCAATTCTTCAACTGTAGTGCAGTACAGATACTCTATAGGGACTCTCCCTCTCCACGCCTGTTCCCTTTGTGAACACATAACTGTCTGTCAAATTAATAAAAGGATTGACCTTGGTGACTGACAGGTGTAATGTTAGGTTAGCCACTTTTTTACCAGGGCAATTTGCTAATTTTTTCAACACGTTATAATCTATGCTACTTTATGGAGTCTTACATGCACCAAGAATTCCCATTCACATATGTGTTTATGCATATATCTGTTCACTTCATAGGTACAATTAGGCTGGTTTCACACGGTTTTGGCCACAGTGCTGGTGTACCCTTGGTTTTCATGCATTTAATCCATGGCTTCCCATATACTTTTCCTTAGGCTGTATGTTTTTGAAGAGTTTTCTAAAACCACACCAAAAGTCCTGCATGCTTCATCTTTGGGGCGCTTTCAGAAAAGCACACAAAAAATGCGCAACCCAATAGAAAGTCTGTGAGAAACCACCAGTTTGCTTTAGTTGAGAAAAATGCAAGGCATACTGTGAATGACATAGGACTGCTACAGTGATTACCCGCTTTCTAGGGATCCCATAGGTATGACATATGCATCTTGGCATTGTTCCAGTCTGGACCAATGTAACTACAGGGAAAAAAAAATAGTCATACCAGGCTGGACCAATGTAACCATGCAAAACAAGTCATACCTGGAATTCAACTTTAATTATTATAGTCAGAGCACATACGCTATATTGCCAAAAGTATTGGCACACCCCTCCAAATCACTGGATTCATGTGTTCCAATCACCTCCATGGCCACAGGTGTATAAAATCAAGCACCTAGGCATGCAGACTGCTTCTATAAACATTTGTGAAAGAATGGGTCATTCTCAAGAGCTCAGTGAATTTAAGCATTTTACCGTGATAGGTTACCACCTGTGCAAATAGTTCACCCCTTGAAATTTCCTTGCTACTAAAATATTCCACAGCAGGGGCGGACTGACCATTCGGGCATTGCCCGAGGGCCCGGGGTCAGTAGGGGGCCCGCGAGAGGATCACTGTCCAGTGACAGTGTGGGGAGTGGAGGAGGAGGCGGTGTCAGATCCCGACCCAGAAGTAGCTCACCTGTCACTTCACGTGGGGGCAGAGTGAGTCGGGCGATGGGTCCGGACACTGTGCTGGTGATGGAGCCGGTGGCCAGTGGGAAGGTGAGAGGCATATCATCTATGGGTGTGGGGTGTTCACTGCACACACCCTTCCCCCATGGATGATATGTATCAGGAACAAAGTCGGAGGTGATCGGTGCAGTGGAGAGACAGCACCAATCTCCCTGCATGGATTTCAACGAAGCAGCTGAAAGACTTCCAGCTGCCTCCTTGAAATCCATGCAGAGAGATCGGTGCTGTCACTATCCCTCCACTGCATCGATCATCCCTGACTGTGCATCAGATTTCCCTCCTGGGCCCCCCCCCCTCTGTGCTCCATACCCCCTCTTGCAGGTCTCTGATGCTTCCTCTTGTCTGACAGTGTCCAGCCCCTCTCCCCCATCCTCAGAGGGGAGGCAGAGCAGAGGAGAGAGGATCTTCTCTGCCTCCCCTGTCCAGATCAGCCGTCAGCTCTGTGATTCTCATTCATTCTCTCCCTCTCTCTCTCCTCTTCCTTTCCTCCATCCCCTCCTTTCATTCTTTCCTCCCTCCATTCCATTTCCTCACTCCTCCCTTCCGTCATCCTTCTAATCCTTCCCTCCCTTTTTTTCCTTCCTTCATCCATTCCCTCCTTCCCTTTTCTTCCTTCCTCTATCCCCTCCGTTCATTCTTTCCTTCCTTCCCTCCCTTCCTTCCTTCTGCTCTCTCCCCTCCCCTTCTTTCCTTCCTTCATCTATTTCATCCCTCCTTTTTCTTCCTTCCTTCCCTCCCCTTCCTTCATTCCATCCTTCATCCATTTTCTTCCTTCCTTCATTCCCTCCCTCCCTTTTCTTCTTTACCTTCATTCCTTCCTCTATCCCCTCCCTTCATTTTTCCTTCCCTTCCTCCTCGTCCTTCAACCATTTCTTCCTTCTTTCTCCCCTTTTTTTTCAATCCTTCCTTCCTTCCTTCATCCATCCATCCCCTCATTCTTTCCTCCCTCCCCTCCTTTCATATCCTTCTTCCTGCCTCCCCTCCTTTCATTTCCTTCCTCCTGCCATTCCCTCCCTCCATTTTCTTCCTGCCCTTACTTCCTTTCTCTACTTATTCCCTTTTCTTCCTTCCTTCCTCCCTCCCTCCCTCCCCTTCCTCCATCCATTCCCTCCCTCCCTTTTCTTCCTTCCTCCCTTCCTTCCCCCCCCCTTCATTTCTTCTTCCTTCCTTCCTCCATCCATTCCCTTCCATGTCTTACTTCCTTCCCTCCCTTCCTCCATCCATTCCATCCCTCCTTTTTCTTCCTTCCTTCATCAATTTCCTTCCTTCCTCCATCTATTTCCGCTCTCCTTTTTCTACTTCTTTCCTCCCCTCCTTCCTTCCCTCCCCTTCATTTCTTCCTTCCCTCCCTTTAATTCCTTACCATCATTCCTTCCCCCATCCCCTCCCTTCATTCTTTCCTCCCTCCACTCCTTTAATTTCCTTCCTTCCTCCCCTCCTTCCTTTCCTTCATTCCTTCCTCCATCCCTCCATCTATTCCCTCTCTTTTCTTCCTTCCTTCCTCCCCTCCTTTACCTTCATTACTTCATCCATCCATTTTCTTTCCTTCCTTCCATCTATTCCCTCCCTCCCTTTTCTTCCTTCCCATCCTTCCTCCCACCCCCTTCCTTCCTTCCCCTTCCCCTCCCCTTTCTTCCTTCCTCCATCTATTCCCTCCCTTTCTTTCCTTCCTTCCCTCTCTTCCTCCATCCATTCCCTCCCTCCCATCCTAACTTCCACCCTTCCCTCCTTTTCCTTCATTCCTTCCTCCATCCATTTTCTTTCCTTCCTTCCTCCATCCATTCCCTCCCTTTTCTTCTTTCCCTTCCTTCCTCCCACCGCTCCTTCCTTCCCCTTTCTTCCTTCCTCCA